CCGATGCCATGTGTGTGCAGTCCCAGCTCCCCAGTGCGGCTGCTGGCTCCATGGCAGTTTCCAGGCTGACATGTGCCCCTCTGCCGCAGGTGGAGAACATGCTGTTCCCCAAGCTTATCTCCCTGAACTCCCCTCACTTCGACTTCACGGGCTGCAACTTCTCCGAGAAGAACATGTACGCCAAGGACAAGAGGGATGGGCAGTCGAAGGAGGGCAGTGGGCGGGTGGCCATCTACAAAGCCCTGGGCATCATCCACAGGTAGGCCAGCCCCATGGGCATGAGCCCCCTTGCTCCAGGTGCCTACATCTCCCTGGCACCCGCAGGCATGGTCCAGCATCCCCTCTCCATCAGAGGGAGCTGTGCCAGGCCCTCAGTCTGTGCAGCCTTGGGCATGAAGTAGTGTGACGGCTGTGCTGGAGGTCATGTGCCCCCAACAGGCCTAGCTGGGGATCCCCTGCCCAGCAGCTCCAGGGGCCGGTCATGTCTTCCAAGCCCTTCGAGCAGCTCCTGGGTTCAGCGATGAGGCTGGGGTGTTTCCCTTGAGGACACTGGTTGGTTGCAGAGGGACTGGAGGAGCAGGGTGCTAGAGCCCAGGGTGGCCTCACCAGCTGGGGGTCAGTGGGCAAGGCCTGCCCCTTTGATGTCTGTGGGATTAGGTCCCCTCTCCTGCCCAGGCTCTGCCTACCCCCGGGGCAGAAGGAGATAATGCTGGACAGGGCTGACTGTCTCCAGCCCACAACGGTCTCTCTCAGAGGGGTGGAAGCTGTTCTCCCTCTGTACCCGTAAGGCAAGGATGGGCAGCTGTGGGGGCCGCGACGGACCAGCATGGGTGGCTGCAGGCTGGAACGCTGGCTTCTCGTGTGTGTTCGCAGCTACACGCTGGAGTGCAACTACAACACGGGACGCTCAGTGAACAGCATCCCCGTGGCTTGCCACGACAACGGGCGGGCCAGCCCCCCGCCTCCACCCACCTTCCCCTCCAAGTACACCATGGAGCTCTTCGAGCAGGTAACCCCAAGCTTACCCCTACCAGGCCAACCATGATGCCCAGGCCTGGAGTTCCTCTTCTACTCTGGCCCCTCCAGCTGGCCTCTGGTCTTGGTGTCCACACCCCTCTCCAGCTCACTTGGGGAGCATGGTGGTGTTGAGGGGTTGGAGCTGCATCCCCACAGGTGGACGGGAACGGGAAGAGAAATGAACTTCCAGCACCTCCCCTACCACCTCGTAGCCCTCCCTTGGCATCTGGCCTCTGCTCCAGGCTCCATCTGGGCCAGTGCTCCTGAGCCCTGGGCTGGTTGTAGTGCTGCCCCTGTGCGGTGGCCGGGGATCCAGGCCCTACCAAACCTGGGAGGATTCTCCTGCTTCCCTGTGGATGCTCGCAGCCCCGTCCTGCGCAGGCTTGAGGGGGAACCCCAGAAGACGGTGACTGCTGCTCCACGGGACCCTTCCCTACCACCCGCCTTTTCTCC